TGTCCATTTGACTCAGCATGGTGAGCACTGCATCTTGATTTGGCTCCAGATTCGTGACACCCCATTTTGTTTTCCGCATGTCATGGACTTGAATTTCAATTTATAAAAATTTCACCAATTTTTGGACACTCGCATTTCGTACAGGGTGACTTGGCATTTTCCCATTTTGCCCTTGGATCGCAATGCCTCCCAGTCCTGTGCTGACATTCAACAGCCGCACAACTGGCATGATTGCCCAGGCGGTCGCCTTGATGATGGTCTGGCTGGCCCCGAAAGGGGATGGAGCTTTGATTCGCTGCGAGAATGCGAAAGAAGCGCTGAATCGTGCATGTCAGCTCCTCTCAGTCCATGGTTCGTGGTCCTGGCTGCCAAAGATGGCATGCGTGCTGGCTCGAACGATTGTGGGGCTTCAGTCAGAAGTAGCCCAACTCGAAAGCATTTGCTATCGCTCATGGGACTATAGACAACCATCACGGGCTGTGTTGGACAGCATTGCTGGCCTTTCTCCGGAGACGGCAGCTCTATGGCAGTCGGAGCTGCATGCCGCAGCTGTGCTTTTCGATGACTTTGCCGCAGAGATTGCTCGGAGTGGGAACCTCGAGGTCTGGGGCACCATCCGACATGCCGCTGATGGCACACGTGATTTGCATGACCTTGTGGGCGTGCACATTACAAGGGTGTCGCAGCTGAAGGACCCACCGGTAGTCCTTTTATGTTGACAGCATTGGCTGCACCAGATGCCCCCACCATATGTGGCATTTGTGAATTTTTTAGCATTCATGCAGAGCCCTCACTTGCTCTCGCCATTGCGACAAAAAGGTGTTGCCCGCTGACAGCCTTAATGGAGCAGGATCAGTCCTGCGGAACATGTGGCATGCCAACACCGCAGTGACATGCCTCACATTGTGATCTTGATTGCATTCATTTTTCGAATTTCTCACTTGCATATTGATGATGGCAATCCACCACATTTCAATCAGTGGACCTTGCGTGTTGGGCTCTCAGCACAGGGGACACATTTGCGTGTCGCAACAGTTTTCAGCATTTTAATTTTGTCTGCATGTTCTTTCATGCCAACCATTCGGAATTTTCAGTTGCCGTTTATTCCTGTTTGGTTTGTTTCATTTGCGAGATTCTCACCATGGCACAGCTTGCACTGGACGATCCCGCTGCTTTGAAGAAGCTATTGGATGATTGTGCAGTTCCAGCACCCATTGTTGCCAACTTGAATCTTTTAGGCTACCGTTCTGTAGCTTTGCTTGGTTTTGCAGTCCCCAGTGATGGACACGTGGATGAAATGATTGAAAAGCTCACTCCACATGATCTAGGGGAGCAGATTGACCTCTTATCGCCAGGTGCGGCTAGTTTGAGACGAGCTATCCGCCAATGCTTCGAAGCGTGCCAGGCGAAAGGTGGCATCCCATGTGAACCAAACTTTGCAACAGCAGCCAAACCAAAGCTGTCTCTGACGGAGTATAAGGAACTGAAGCTTAAGTTTGTTGAACACTTTCCAGGTGAATTGTTGACACCGGAATCCACTCCCAGCTTCATGTTTCTTGCCAGTTTGAAAGAGCAAGTGGATGCCGGCACTTGGACATGGACACCATGGCGTCATCGTATCTCTGAACATGCTGAGATGCTTTTTCAGGAAAATCGGAAGCCTCGATCAGATCACCAGTTACTTCAACGCATGCTTAACCAGCAGGAACTGATGGACTTCCCAGAAGCCAGCGTCCCGTCAGGTGGCCCAGTCGAACCAGTATTGATGCGATTTCAAACCTTGCTTGCAAACGCGCTGGCTATGTTGCAGTTGGTTCATTTGATTGTCATCAAGAAATTTCACCACAAGTTTAACGAGTTGGCTCTGGCTGCACCTGTGGATTCATCATTACGATCTCCGAACTTGCAAGAGGTTCTGGCAGCAAATAAAGCCGTTTGGATGGCAGTGACTTCAGCCATGAGGGATAACAGCTCGTCCCTGAGTGACACCATGTCTGAAATTGCCTACTGTCGCCAGGACATGCAGACAGCCTTGCAGCCCAGACCTCGTTCTCTACATGCTCCAACGACTCCGAAGAAGGTGGAACCCAAGGCCACTCCGAAAAAGCCGGGTACTCCACCACCAGTTCGCAAGGATGATCGACTGAAAGACTGGAATGAGAGTTGGGTCAGAAAGCACAATGGCAAGGGCATTTGTATGCGTTGGAATGTCTCCAAGTGCGGCAGTGGGGATACGTGCAGGTTTCGTCACATTTGCCCCATCCCGAAGGCTGATGGAACGCCTTGTGCACAGAAGCATCCTGCCAAGTCCCATAAGGGTGCTCCACACTGACCAACGGACCAAGGGCCCTCTTCAACTGTGGACTTGGAGCCGCCCCCTGGTGATTTTTCTTTGGGAGCTTGGCCAGGTGCATCAGCCTCCGAGCCTATGGTTGTGGACAGTTTGCATGATTCATTTGCTTATTTCCTTGACATTTTTTCTGGCGCATCCTCTCCAGTCTCAGTGGCGGTGAGGGCTTTGCATGCAGATTCCATTGAACCAGTGGATTTAATTTTTGGACAGCATTGTGACTTGCTTGATGATTTGGTTTTTCAAAACGTCCTGGATTTGGCAGCATCAGGACTGATTGGAGCGGCCCTAGCGGCTCCGTACTGTTCAAAACATTCTATGGCGACACTTCGCCCTAACGGCCCAAAACTTGTCCGAACTCCGGACGCGTTAGATGGATTGCCAACGAACACGCCTTACAGGACCTTCAAGTCCAAGAATCAGCCACAGTGCATGATCGGGCACGGCACATCTTGACCTTGGTGGCAGCGAAGGGTGGCATTGTCGTCATTGAAAATCCTCTGACCAGCATGACATGGCTGGACGGGCTTATGAGTGCTTGGGTCAGGGCTACATCCCCCTACCTTGCCGCGGCAGCAGCTTGCAGGTTCGGGGAGGACTGGCAGAAGTCCTGGCTGTTTTGCTCCAACAAAGTGGACATCCTTGCCATTGGTTTGGGCTGTGATCACAACCCCAAGTCACATTTGAATTTTGCAGGCCTTCGACTTCCGGATGGTTCATTCTACAGTCGGCTTACAGCTTGCTATCCCAAAAAGTTGGCAGAAGCTCTGGCGAAGGTCTTTTTGCCCTATTTGTCCAGACATTCGAAGGTGGCTACATTGCGAGCATGGCCCTCCTGTTTGCCCTCAACCTTTACTGCTCAACCATTGACCCAACGGGTTGAGGACGGGGGTGGTCTTATCAGTACGGCAGTGTGGCATTCCCCACAGGCCCCAGATGTGTTGGGAGGCTTGTGCAAGCGTTGGACCTCTCGCATCCTCCGCATGGGCCTACATTCACATATCTTGTCGCATTTTGCAACGGGGTCCAAAGATCCCCCATTATCTGACCAGCAGCTGCAGGGTTTTTTGATGGATGTGCGCGAGTTTGTGGATGTTCCTGATCGGATTTGGGATCAAGCTCTGCATGTTGCTCCTGGTCAACCATTTCGATTGGACCTCTGGCGACTTCTTTTGCGGGAGATGAATGATCCTGATATTGCATTCCTTGATGAACTTGGGAGTGGGGTACACCTGGGAGTCAACAATGACATCCCAGCTTCCTCTTTGTGGCCCCTACAACAGTCAACTGTTTCTGATGACCAGGAATTGCTGCAATGTGAATCTTCCTGGAAGAGCGCCTTGGACCAACCTGAAGTCGTTTGGCAATTGCTCCAGGATGAGATCGATGCGGGTTTTATTGAACGTGTTCCTGGAGGCCTTGCACAGCTTCAACATGAGCACGAGCATACCGCAGTCGGCAAGCTTGGCTTGGTTTGTGCTGACAATAGACCGCCACGATTGGTGGTCGACTCAACCATTTCAGGTGTCACACACAATACATCCATCCCCAATCGTATGCTGCTGCCCAAAATCTCTGACGTTTTGCAGGCCGCTCCATTGACATCTTCATCTTTGGAGCTTATCGCCTTCACTTTGGATGTCTCGAAGGCCCATCGCCGTATTAAAATTGACCCCCGTGACCAAGGCTTGCTGTGCTTTTGGTATCAAGATGTTCTGTTCAAGAGCAAAACCTTGAACTTTGGTGCCAGGGCCAGTGGATATTTTTGGGCACGTGTTGCAGGTTTGATGGTACGCACCTTTCATCGCCTATTACATGTCAGACATGCCCTTTTTCAGTATGTTGATGATCTGCTGGTGCTTCTCGAAGCGGCCACATCTCCCATTTGGATTGGCGTACTTACCATTGCATGTCAAATTTTGGGCATCCCTATGTCCTGGCACAAAACTGACTGGGGTCCTGCCGTGACATGGATTGGCTGGCACATCAATGTTCGTCGATGGGTGGTTTCTATCACTCCTGACAAACGCGAGAAAATCCTGGCTCAAATCGACTCTTTGCTGCGATCATCAAGATGTGATTTGAAGGTTTTGGAATCACTTACAGGGCGACTACTTTGGGTTTCATCTTTATGGGAGACTCTACGCCCTTTGTTGGGACCGCTATATCATGCGATGATGACTGTCCCTCTCACCCTGGTTTCCATTTCGCCGCATCAATGGCCTGAACTTCTTGATATTCTGCAGGAGGATATGTGTCTGTCGAAGTCGATGACCCACCCTTCCCTGCGCAAGTCCGTGAAAGTCGTTCGTGTGGCCAATTTCACATTGCGTGATCGTGAACACGCCAAATCATTGCACTTCAAGTCTCGCAGGATATGGCTGGGCATTCAAATACCTGGCTCCAGCAAACGCAAACTGCTACCTGACACGCATGAGGCCCTGCAAGCTTGGAAAGATGTCCTCATTGGTACTCCTTTCCTTCATGACATGGTACCACCTCACCATATACCTCTTCAAGCCTCGGCTGATGCGTGCGCAACTGCGAATGAAGCTGGTTTGGGCGGCGTTATTCGTATGAATGGTTCGGTTATGGCCTGGTTTGCATTCACAATTTCACATTCCGAAGCAAAGTCAATTTTTCCATGGGTTTCTGACTCGATGCAGAAACACATTAACGTTTGGGAACTTCTGGGTCAATTTTCATTAGCGTATTGCTTGGATTGCTCGTTGAAGGGTCGCCATACCCCCGTTGCAGTCACATTTGCTTGTGACAACACATCGGCTGAAGCAGCGCATTTGAAAGCTTTGTCAACCTCTGCAGGCATGTGTCACATATTGGCGGCTTTTTTCCGTTTCCAACGCATCCACAACATTGATGTGACCATCCAGCATATCCCAGGTATATGGAACGACGATGCTGATGCGTTGAGTCGTGGTAGGCACCTTCCTTCTTGCCCTCCTGAACTACGCATTGATGTTCCCTGGAAATGGCTCTGCTCCGCCATACCGAAATTTTCACCTAGTCAAGCTCGAATTCCATCCACTTTGCTGTCCCGCTGAGTCCAAAAGTCGTGGCATTTGACATGTTTGCACATCGATTTGCATTTGGGGGTTTTGATCCTTTCGGTCGATGTTCTCGATTTTATTTGGCTTTCCAAAACCCCCTGATCCAATTTTGTGATAACCATTTGTTATCACTGTTTTGTGCTTCTTGTTATACCGCTGTATAACATAACATGTACTTAGTCCGTTGACTATTTATCGCCACGCGTAAAACAGGATGCATGCTGCGGATAGCGTCTTTGGGAATTCAAAACTGTTTTTTGGACTCTCTACTTCTTTTCCTTATTTTGGGTATCTAGATTTTTTCTCTTCGCGTCACCCACAACTTGAGCAACGGAAGGCGTACTAGTGAACAAACAGGACTATGTATCGGTCCTACACCAGTTCACTTTTGAGGCCACTCTACCGCAGACGGCCTACGCATGACATAATTAATCAATTAATCCCAATTTGCAACATGCAATAAAACATGTTGAACGACCTGGCGGAAGCCATGAAGGCGTTGGACGGAAAAAAAAAGGATCTTATATTGTAGTTATCATGAGTAACGTTGATAGGTGGATCCGCTTGATTGCATGGAGAATGCGGGCCCTCAGCCCAGGCTCTCACCCTTATACTCCGGGCAGCCCTCTGAGTCAACCCAGCATGAGCCCCCAACGGGCTAGTAAGGTTGACCGTAAGGCTCAGCTGGCATATGCACGCCCTGTTGGCCGTCATCATGGAAGCGACCATGCAGATGGAGACGGTAGTTGAGAACCTGAGCAAATGCATCAAGACGAAGTTTTTTTGTGGTCGGCGCCCGTTGCCTTTCGGCGGGTCGCACTTGAGACTCCTGAGTGGACCAGCAGGGATTCGAACCACCACCGGCAGTCTGTCAGCGCTGGCAAGACCAACGTCATACCAACTGAGCCATCGGGTCGTCTCAAATGCATCAAGACGAAGACCATGATGAGTCCCGAGGGGCAACAGCCTCTGAAGCAGTGAAGGACCAACAGCCGGAAAGACGTGCTGCAGACCAGGACTTTGCAGAGGAGCATAGCAAAGAACCCGGGCAGTGAGGTAAGATATCGATACGCACAAGAGCCAGGACAAACAGCCCCCTTGCGAAGACAAGGGAATACAGATGCAGTTCTTGACAGACTGCTACAAAGGAAAAAACGTTGTGATTCATCTTTGGGATGTGCGGTCATGTTGTTTGAGCAGTTATCCTCACCTCGGCTATATTGGCTTGTGACATTATATTTCAAGATTGTAGCCCACATGTCAGTCAAGGGTGCAACTCAGCACAAACTTCATGGTACATACAATCTGCACCCATGCTCCTGTCTGGTTCAAGCTTCAGGCAAGTGCATCCCGATTTTAGGAACAACTTATGTAACGAAGTCGCGTGTCTTCTTTTTATTCCCTAGGTGCACCCAACATTTGCCCTTTCGATCTCCGCCCTGCCCTCCCCCTTCCACTCTAGCTAGGAGGTGCCTTGCAATAGCATCTTTTCCTCGAGGTGTTCCATCCGATCCTCCCTACAATCTTTCACCTTTACCCCTGAGTTTTCTGTCCTGCAGGTAACTACTGGTAGATTGCAGTAGTATATCTTCCGATTACCAGCCATGGAAATAGCATTGAGACACGGCCTTACTGGGGAGCAGCTGCTTTCCGCCTCCGGAAGCGAGGAAACCATGCTAACGGGCTGGGAAATCACAGTGCAGCTAGCATCCCTCCTCAAGATCGCCACACCGTTCCACGCGATCCTGTGTGCTAATGGTGAAAAGATTGCTCCCTTTCAGACACTGGAGATGTACATCGTCAATGGGATTTGTGAGCTCACCTTCGTACTTAGACAAGTACACCCGCCCTCAGTGCGACAGTATGAATCGCTGATTGGAGCGATACAATTAAAGAACCCGACCACCCTTTGCAACCTATTAGGCCAAGGGCTAGATCTCAGTCCTGCGTACTTGTGTGGGGGGCGCCCACACGTGATGCTTGCACTTGCCATCCTCAGGGACGATGATAGGGAAGATTACCTGGCATATCGGGAAACATCCAACATCAGACCCACAAGAGCATTTACATGTCTTTAAGTATTTGTGACCGCTGCCTCAACTGCTTGGGCGGAACATGTATTGCATACTAGGCACCGTCATGGCACAGATATAAAACAGTGATATACTGGACAGAAAGGTTGGTATTGGTAATCACTGTAGTTCAATCGGTTGAATACACATACGACTGAAGTGTGAGATGCTTTGAAGCTTATCAGTTTCGGCTCCAGGAACTTTTCACGTAATTGTTAATCATGTTCGGATTGAACTGGTCTCCTTTGTTTCTTGTACCTACTCCCAAACAAATTCTTGAGCATTATCCCACAAGCCAATATGGCCTTCATTGATCTCCAAACTATAATATATGTGTGGCTGAAGTTTTGGTGAGGATCAGCGGCATACACGACCCTGGGTTGGTTGAGTTTGCCGGGGGCCTATCTGCATCAATCAACACGTGCACCCGACAGACTCGCTTGTTGGTTAATTGCAGCAATGGTTGGACTGGACAAGGTTTTAGCTGTTGCAATTTCAATCGACTGAGTTGGATGAGAGAGCTGCGCTGATTTTTGAGTTTGAGCTGGTAGCGGCATACTTTGTGAAAGGGAATCTGCAATACAAAGGATTTTTTACTTTGGGCAGTTTTTTTCCTGAAAGAGGACAGCTTGTGAGATGACTCAACAATTTGCAACACCTCTTTGAGAATCAAAGATGAATGCCTTATTTTCACGACAACAAAAATTTGTCCCAGTGGGACAAATTAACAAGACCAAAAAAAAAATCTCTGAAACCACCAAACAACAAACAAACACAAACAGTAAACAGTTTGTTGGTTGTCTCCCTGTTTAACTGGAAACATCGATGATACTTCATGTTCACATGTGTGATTTTTCATTCGTTTGATGTTTTCCGTTTCAAGGGAGGGTGGGTGGGAATTCCACCCTTTTTAAGAGGGCAGCGTTAAGAGGGCAGCGTTGGCAATGGGCAAAGCAGTGGCGCGTGGCCAAGCGTTGCTTCGGTCTCCTGTGGTTTTTCAACCAGTGGTACCTGTTCCATTTCCGTATCGGCTGTGCATTTTGTCAGTGATTTCAGGTTTTGGCACTGCATTTGTGATTTTCTTCGCCTGGATTTGGACTCTTTAGGAGATCGTCTTTTATGCAACACAGGTCACAACCTCGGCTTCCTGTGTTTAGGCCGCTGGTGCCACATCGACCATTGCAATCTGATTCTACATCTTGCAGTTACATTCTTGCAGGTGGTGGTTCTGCAGTTTTGTTGCAACACAGCATCCTGTCGTATTTGTACACGCCTGGTGCTAGGAATCCAGATATTTTTCATTTGGGTAACACTGCGCCTGCCATTCGTATCATTACAGGTTCCTGGACACAGGTGGACACTCCCAGCGTGTCTTCTCAACGGGCAGAAAATGACTGAGGCCACAGATACGAATCCTGACCTTTTTCCTATGGGAGATTTTGCGGGGTCAGGTTTTGATGTTGGATACCCATATGGTGGTGAACAGTCTGAACCCTTTTTTGATGACGCCAGGGTTGATCCATCTGAAACAGTGGGGGACCAATTGGACGACTGGGATGTTACGGCAGTAAACTTTGCTGGTTCAGTGTTGGACGGTTTGCATGTTTTCACTTCCGGTGATTTTCAAAATGCATTGGACAGAGCATGGCAATCTTTGGAGCCGGCGCCACAGTGGACGATGCCTTGGGCGTGTGGAAACATATTTTTGATGTGTCAGAGCGTTCAAGTAGCTTGACAATGCCTGTTTTGAGTAGACCTGCAGTGGCTCCTCTGCCAGATGTCTTGCCAGTGCAACACCCGGCTTTGAAAAGCAGGCGCAGTGCAGCTGAACCTCAGGCCTGGCAACAAGTGGTCATGGCCTCGGATGTGGCGTCATGGCAGGAGCTTCATGAAGCCAAGCTGGACGTGGCTTTGAAACGCTGGTATGACGTGGTGATCATGTTTCCAACGTCATTTATCTTGGTGGCTCAACTGGCTGAATTACCCACCTTGGGTGAGCAAATGTCCAGAGATGTTTTGAGTGGCAGATCACCTTTGACCTTGTTGAAACGAGTGAACTCCATTACACGGTACATGACATTTCTGCGCAATCACGGGATGACAGCGCCTGGGGTTGAGTCAGACTTGTATGCTTTTCTCAAGGAGCAAAGGTCTGAAGGCGCACCTCAGTCGAGACTTGCAGCTGTGATTGAGTCCATCAGGTTCATGGAGCATGTGTTAGGCCTCAATGGTTTGACAGACCTGCTGTCCAAGCGCTGCTTAGGTGCGGCAAAGCAGACAACAGCTGGGCCAAACCGTCAGGCAGCACCGCTGACAGTTGCAGAGCTGCGGGGACTTCATGACATCCTTGCTTCACCTGATGCAGATGTTTGGGATCGTAACATGGCTGGCGCTTTCCTGGGATGTGTTTATACAAGGTCGAGGGGGTCAGATTTTCAGCACTCGAATGAAATGACAGCAGATCCACACCCTCATTGTCCTGAGTTTGTGGAGTTATCCATTTCAGAGTACAAGACAAAGTATGCAAATGCTTGGAGGGGTGGTTTGCTTACAGCAGTGGCCCCAGCCATCGGTGTGTCGGCAGAGAACTGGGCGCAGAACTGGCTGGTAGTTAGAAACATGTTGCAGGCACCTTTGCATGAGGATTTTCCCATCATGCCAGCACCGAACGCTGCAGGGGAGGCCACCAAAAGGCCCCTTACCACTAAGGAAGTTGCGGAGTGGATCCGTTTGCTTTTGAGGAGAGGTGGCATAGCAATGGGTGAACGCAGAATTTCATCCCATAGTGCCAAAGCCACCATCCTTTCATACTTAGCGAAGTATGGAGCAGAGATATCAGTGCGTGAGATTTTGGGGGCCCATGTTTCCCACTTGCAGTCGGTCATCAGATATTCAAGAGACGCCCTGGCTGAGCCCTTGCGG